AGATTTGAAGATTTTATAACCAAATGTACCAAATTCACTGTGATGTTTTGTATATATTTGTTTAGAGAAAGAAGCAGTTTTAAAAGGGATTAATTTAATGAGCATTTGAATACTAATATAATTTCTTAAAATAAATGATCTTGTTGACAATGTTTGCAGTTGATTAAGTGTTTTGTAGCCTCTTGAAGTGCAGACGTAGCTTTTTCAGTGTGTCCACAGCAGTTGCACTGCTATGTGGTTTTTCTTGTTCCCTTGAAACAGACCTTGTTATTTAAACATTAGGTGTAGATGGATTGGATTTGTGTTTGCTCACCATTTGATCACTTTCAAACAAGATAATAGAGCGTTTGCTGTTTCACACTGGCTAGGTGTGACATTCTGTCTTCTCTTCAGCTTAGCTTCTATTTGGGGCAAGGTTTAAAAATCTTTGGTGGCTTTAGTATTACACTAAACTAGTCCATGAATATTTCCACTTGTTTTTGAATAAAAAGGGGAACTTTTTAGAGTAGCTACCAAAAAAAGGAGTCATTTTGCACTATTGTTGTACAGCTATGTTAGAGGTGCCGGAGAAGAATACAGTCACTGAATTGTCAAACTTTTTTTTCAAACTCTTTATGGCTGTAAAAAAACAAAACAAAAACAAAATAAGCCTTTTTTAACATAAGGAAACACCGGCTCTCAGAACGACTCCTTAGCCCCTGCGATCATAGTTTTTACAACGTACTCGCGCACTACATTTCTATTTGCGTTCACCTTTTAAACAACTTCAGATCACACTGTGCGGTTTCCTTTCCTCTCACATACAAGAACGTTTCGAAAACATTTGCGCAACAGTGTTTAAAAGTTGCACATTTTTCTTTTTTTTTTCTGTTGAAGTGACAAAATAAAGCACTGATCAACTTCACTTTTCGCTTGACATAACTTATCTACAAGTGCAAAACAACTTTTAACTCTTCAGTCTCTAATGCTGTCATAAGATTGTATTTTTATTTTATTTTTTTAAACTTTTTGTTTTGAAAGCAGTCAGTGAAGGGACTTTACACTCACTGGCCACTTTTTTAGATACACTTCGCTAGTACCAGTTTGGACCAATGTTTGCCTTCAGAGCTGCCTTAGTTCTCTACAGATTCAACAAGATGCTGGAAATATTCCTAACAGTCCATGTTGACATTATGGCATCACACAGGTGCTGCAGTTTGACATGATTTGAGCTTTATAGCACATTAACACAAGCTAGGTTCATCAGTGAAGCTGCTGTGTTTCTACAATGTTTAGTTACGATCGAAAGCGGGCCAAAAAGAAAAATATCCCCCACACCAATATATTACCACAAGCCTTAACCGTTGATACAAGGCAGGATGGATCCATGTTTTCACATTGCTTACACCATATTCTGACCCTACCATCAGAATGTGCAATCGAGACTCATCAGACCAGGCAACGTTCTTCCAGTCTTCTATTGTCCAAATTTCATTGCAAATTTTAGCCTTGGTTACCCGTTCTTAGCTGTGTGGTCTTCGTGCTGCTGTAGCCCACCTGCTGCAAAGGTTTATCAGCTCAAAGATGTTTGGTCATTCTGCTCTGATGTCTGGTATCAACAAGGCGTTTCTGCTACTCTCTGGATGTTTTTCCTTTTGCACACTATTCCCTGTGCACCCGAGATGAGATGGCTATGTGAGAAAATCCCTGTAGATGAGCAGTTTCAATGATACTCAGACCAGCCTGTCTGGCACCAACAGTCAAAGTCAATTAAATCACGTTTTTCCCCATTCTGATGCTCAGTTTGGACTTCAGCAGGCCATTTTAACCATGTCTAGATGCTTAAATACATTGAGTTGCTGTCATATGATTGGCTGATGAGATATTTGTGCTAATAAGTAGTTGAACTAAATAAAGTGGTCAGTGAGTATATAAACAGATTATAAACTTTTAACTGTTTTGATTGGCAAGATTTAGCTGCATTGAGATTTATTTTGCTCACTGGACATTCCCTGTCATTAGGTTGAGTTATAGTATAGCGGTGTAATTACTAGATCATTGTGTTTAGAGTCATATTTACAGTAAATCAGCACACCTGTACCATATTGCCCTTTCAGTCTTTAAAAATGTAACAACTGGTTAAAGAAACACTCTTTGTAGTGACCTGTAGGGAGCGCTATTGCCTTATTTTTTTTCAGGCGGCAGGCCATATGTTTTGTAGTGACTTCCCTCTTTGCATGTTGTTTTGCTTCAGCTGTACAGTAGAGTAAGTGTCCGTGAGTGGCTTTGCTCCTTCTAATGAAAGATCCGAGGCCTTTTTCGTACAATCACGTCTGTGTAGCAGATTCCATCAGCACTGCTGTAAATATCCCATTAATGATGAAGTTTGGCCTACTTTCAACTAAATATGCAATTTCTTCCTCTTGAATAATTAACCTAATACATGAAAAAGTGATAGAAAATGCTGTACCTGCTTGCATGTCTATTGAGGGTGTGAAAATTGAGTTGCCTAACCTCTCCTGGGGCTTTCTCTTTGTGTCAGCGTCACATTATAGTGGAAAATTTTTCGGTCTCCCTCCTCAAAGCATATTTACTATCTGCATGCTCTGCACCATGGCAGCAAGCCAACGGTTCTTTAATTAGTCACTTTTTTTTTTTTTTTTACACCTTCTGCCACTGAAGTGACCTCCTCATCTCCTCTCAACATAAAAGCTCTCCCACTAGTGGAAGAATCACAGTGGGGTATTTTCTTTGATGTCATCTGCGCAGCACACATACATCCCACATCCCCGTTGTAATTTATATGCCCGTGTGTTTTTTTTTTAAAGGGCAACATTTGTTTACCAACTGTTCCATATGTAGCAATTTGTGCGTGACATTGTTGCCTGCTATGTTAGGACATAGTATGTTACTGTTTTTCTCTTCAGAGCGTCATGTTTCATCATGTTCGTGTTACATATGAACACAGAAACGTCTAGTGCGAGCATGAGTGCTAAACTATATGAACACAAGAGGACTATTACTGTTTTTTAGCACGTAGAACAAAACCCTGTTTGAGATTCCTTTTTTGTGTGTGTGTTTTTTAAATAAATCTGTCCACCACACAAAGGTGGTTGCCTCTGAAAGAACCTCAGAAGCACTAAATTTTCAGATTGTGACCCCTGACCTCCGCCCTTTAGCCTTTTGACCGAAACACCCCGAGGTTCTCATTGCATCAAAACAAGCTTCGAAACAACCGTCTTCTATTTAACATGAACCTTGTGATTAACACGCATCTCTTCCTGGCCTAGTTATGAGACTCTAACATGCTTGCATTGGTATTTTCTGTAAATGCACATGCTCATAGACTCATTTCAGTCCAGTACTGTACCTTCCCTTGACCTCTGTTCTGTGAGTCTGCTGACCAAACATCCCTCAGTGACCTGAACATCGCAGCTCTGGCCTCTTGAAAACCCATTTAGTCTCTGCAAGATTCAAATAAAACAGACGACAAGTAGAAATCACCTCTTGGGGTAAAATATGCATTAAAGCATCTATTATGGTCTATGTTTCCTATTATATTTTGCTAATATTGCATCTTGTCAGCTCCCATCATACTACCAAAGCACTTAAATTTCACCTTTTAATGCCTTTTGTGGCTATGAGTTGAACTTTGTAAATTCCACTTAACATTTTTGCCCTGTACGTGACATTTTGAGCATCTTTTTGGTATTCGAATGCTACACGATCTGCTAAGATTTATGGATGACCTGATTTGTTGCTAAATTTGTGACCTCCCTCCACTGTTGTCTGAGTCAGGTTGGAAACTATTTTTTTATGGAAACAATGAACGATATTGATGTTGTGAAATTAATTAATTTACGAAAAGGTGTAAGATTGTTAAGCTCTATCATATTAATTTAAAGGACTTCAGGGAAACCTAAAGGAAAAAATATGAACCAACCTACTGGTCTACAATGGCACGGATTCCAAGAAATAGCCTAGGCCTCATATGTCATAGTCTGAGATGGACATTAGATCACTTATTCAGCTTTTATGCGCTGCTATCAGTTAATTGTTCCATGAGCAATTTAGAGTTAAGGGCCTTTCTTAGGCTTCAGCCATAAAGACCTAAAGGTGATCATTTGGCAAGTGCTGATTGCAAGGGGAAAACCGTCTTTGAGATTGCTTTGTTTGCTAGCGCACTGCTATAGTTGTTCACAGTTTGAGTGGAAGACGCTAATTTATCTGCAAATACTTGCCAACAATTTGCCAAGTGGTAGTGAAACTTGAAAGACTGCAAAGCAAGATAGAAATGGAGAACATCTGCTTTTAAGGGCACAGCTTTCTTTAACCCTACATGCTGCACATTTTCCAGCTTCACTGCTGTTCAGCTAGTAGTTTGCAAGTGTTTGCAGACAAGTCAGTTTCTTCCACACCAAGTATGACTGACAACAGCAATTTGATAGCAACCAAAGCAATCACAAGGAGGTTTTTAGTTTTGGTTTTTGGGATTCTTCTTTGTGACAAATTGCAACAAATAACACATTTTTGCCTAGCGACTGGAGGTGGGCAGGCGGTTGCCAACCAGTCTCTCAGCTTATATAACCGAGGCCCTTGTAAAGACCCTTTCTAGGCCCTTTTCTGTTTTGAAGTCTTGAGTTTGACATTTTGGTAGTTTGATAGTCTGCTTGAATGGCAGTCATGCCCTAAAGCATCCTCTGTTTTATTGTCTATTTTGTCCTAAATGGGAACATCATTTCTAAAATAAACACTGTTTAATTATAAAAGATCTGAAACCACGTGAAACTAATTGAAACAATAAACTCACGGTGAAAGTGTTTACTGAGGTTGCAGAGAAAGAGAGAAGTAGACATGCTGGGTTTTAAAAGGAATGCAGGTTTAAAGCACTTCTGATAAGACCTTGAGGGTACATCATTTATATATAGTCTATGTTTAACATGTAAACAGGAGCTAAT